TCACACATACATATATATATATATATATATATATATATATATATATATATATATATATATATATATATATATATATATATATATATATATATATATATATCTTTAGTATGAAAATCCCTACTATTTTGTTTTTGTTTTATGTTTCTGTGTGTGTGATTGTTATAACTTTTGTATATTTTTTCTATCTCATTCCTTTTAAGTTACTCTTTCCCCTATAGAAATTATATTTTCTTATATTTTGCTCTCCTATCTTTTAGTCTTTACAAAAGATTTTTCTGACTGTTGTAATCAATAATGGACCTTTACGTATAAAATCATCAACGACATTTGAAATCCTTAAATTCTTGGTGTTTTTGTAAGTATCAAATGCTGTACTATACACCAGTGGTTGAATTTCATCTGTCACTGATTGCAATTTAAACAAAAAGCATTCAACATATGGAGCAAAAATCGCTAAGTACTAATGATTGAGAGAAAAAGCAGATTTTGTAATATTTTAGCATATTCGTACACTTTTGTTTTAGAGTGTAATTTATATGGTAAAGAAAAAAAGTGTACAGCGATAACTATTATTAAGGTTACAAATACCGTCATTGCTCGCTTATAAAACAATCCAACAACATATTGCAGGGACCCAGATCTGCTGGCGCATTTTGCACCGGCAGATCTGGTTTTGTACAGTTTGTTAAGAGTAATCTTTGGAACAAACATATCTGGTTTTCATAGTTAATAATAATAGAATTTTTAAAACCTTATAAGAAGTTTAAGAAAAACACTTCAACAAAGCCTTAAATACATTACAGGTCCCCCATAACCAAGACATTTACTTCACTCACTGTGTGTGTGTGTGTGTGTGTGTGTGTGTGTGTGTGTGTGTGTGTGTGTGTGTGTGTGTGTGATTTAGATTTTTAATGTAGCTTTAACAATTTTTCAGTCATATCGCTACGATGTCAGCAGTGTGACAGTTTATACTGATGCACTGGGGCATCATGCCACATGTATGTATGTATGTATGTATGTATGTATGTATGTATGTATGTATGTATGTATGTATGTATGTATGTATGTATGTATGTATGTATGTATGTATATATATATATATATATATACATACATACATACATATATATATATATATATATATATATATATATATATATATATATATATATATATATATATATATATATATATATATATATATAATTAAGTTGATATACGAGCAATCTTTTGTAACTTAAACACCTTATCCATGCAGAAGAGATTCACATTCTGTTTGCAAAGATTTTATATTATAGCCTTTGCCTTTCTGTAAAAAAGTATTAATTCAGTAAGATAAGTTACTTGTTTTGCTTTGTTTATGAACTATTTATATATTATAATCTACAGAGTCAAGTCTGAGTCTGTACTGTATCCTCGGGGATATTATTAGTCACTGGAACCTGAAATAAAACTATAAAACTGTAGGTGATATAGCTTTGTCGTTTGTAGCATTTGCTTAGCACGCAGCTAAAGTCATGTATATGTTATAATCTACCTGTCACTGGAATATTACCACGGCCTTGTGTTTGATCTCTAAAGAGTGTTGAACTCATACGCAAGATTACCATGACACGCCAGAGACCGGACACTTGAGTCGGCAAAGCTGACCGGTGCGTTACTTAATAAAAGCTTTCGGTTATCACACCTGTTTGTTAAAGGTTAGTTCAAGGATCAAAAGGAAATTCAACGGGGTAAACGGGCTTGTTCTTATCCGTCCACACGTTGACAGATAGCGACGTGGACTCTTCCGCTAAGTTCAGTTCACAGTGAAATGCAATCAAAACTGAGATAGAGGGCCTGATTACATTCAGACCTGAAAGATATATTCCGAAATCGTAAGGGTAATTTAATATTCTCCTCGTAGAATTGCAGAGGAATAGGGTTTGCTCTAAGAAAGAAGCACGTGTAATATGGTGAAAGGAAATCAACAACCACAACAAATTAAACAAGAAGAAATAAAAGTGAAACCAATTAACAAATAAAAGATAAAATAACAAGAAAAGGAAAATATGAACAATAACTAAAAGATAGACAAATATGAATACAAGAAAATGAACAAAGAGACAAACAACAGAAACAACAAGAAAAGAAAGAAAACCAATATGTAAAACGAAAAAAAAAAAAACAAAAAAAAAACGGAACACTCTGCAAAGAAAGAAAATTTAGAACAGAAAAACAGAAAGAAACGATGAAAGAAGAAAGCACGAAAATCCCTAAATCCAGAATATCATATTGAGCAATCAAAAACAACTTCCAAAAAGCGAAAGGAAAAGGAAAAGAGAGACTTATATAAGCTAACATATGACAAGGAGCTACAAATACAGAATACAAAATGAAAGACATGAACACTCACTCTGAAATTGTACAACAGTAAAAAGAAAGAAAAAAGGCATCCGAAAGGACAAAACCCTGTAGTCGAGACAGTCGAAGTCGACAGAAGTGTAGTCGTTGGAAAGAAAGTGGAGAAGGAGAAGGAGTCTAGAGAAATTCGAGGATGAGGAGGAGAAGGAGGAGGATAAGTTTGTAGAAAAGGTCGGTGAGAGAAATTAGTCTCATACTCCTAATCAAATGATGCACTAGTCCTATTAAAGGGTCGTGCGGTAGTAGTGTAATTGGAAATTTGAGTCATCTGATTATTGAATTGTCATTTTTTTTACAATTTTTTTTTATTGAATTTTGTATATTTAACGATCTAACCGTTGGCACTGCTGCCTGGGGTCTCTGAGCTTAACATCTATCTTTCACTAAATTTAGCTAACAAAAAAAGCCTGAGTGGGACTTCAATAATTGTTTAAACAAAATATTGGGAGCACCCCTGCCCAACCATATAGTTCGTCGCATTGTTTAACACCAAACTCACCAAATTAAATATCAATGATGGTTAAAGTTAAATACAGCTATAAGTTTCTAGACATTTTCTGATTCCTTATTGTTGAAAGTAAAGTAGAAGAAAACAGTGTGCGTTGTTATCAGACTAGTAATTTTGTAATAGTATCCAAGATCACTCTTGTGTACTAGCTTTCGTTTGGTTACTTTATATCGTTGGGTTTATTATCTGTTGCTGTAGTGTTTGTGATAATGATTTTACGTGGCAGAATAGTGAAATCAATAAGGGTCTCATTGCGCATCACTCGTTAGTTAACAAGGAAATTAGTTTATTGTTAAGAATTTAACCTTAGTGCTAAACCGTGACTGATAACAGTAACATATGTGTGACATTGAAAGGTTTTTCCAAAAATGACACGTCCTAACTCCAAACTAAAGAAATTTTCATTTCTTCCTGCAACTTACTACAATTTATTCTACTCAGTGACAGCAAAATGCTTATTTCACGTGCTACTGAGATGCATTGTACATTTATATACTTCAGGCAACCATATTATATGTTTGATGCAGTGAGTGATGACATTCGGTTACATTTCAGGGCCTTTTCTCCGTCATAATGACAATGTATAGAAAATATTTGATTGAAACAAGTGAATAAATGAGATATTTTATCGAGAGGGTGAGAAGTTCACTATTTTATTTTACCTACAAGTCACATGTGAAAACACCTTTTCCCCAAGAGATGAAATATATCTGTTATTTACTTGCAGGAAGCATTTTTTTTTCATTTTATGTTATGCTCCAACGTTTTGGCTAAAAAGATGTTCTGTAGAGCAAGTTAAAGCAGCAGATTTCTTACTGGACCCTACGCGATGTCAGCTTTTTGTCGTCTATGTTCTTACTGGATCATACGCGATGTCAGCTTTTTGTCGTCTATGTTCTTACTGGACCCCACGCGATGTCAGCTATTTGCCGTCTATGCTCTTACTGGATCCTACGCGAAGTCAGCTATTTGCCGTCTATGTTCTTACTGGATCCTACGTGATGTCAGCTATTCGCCGTCTATGTTCTTACTGGATCCTACGCGATGTCAGCTATTTGCCGACTATATTCTGATGTTTTGTAATTTTTTGCACAACATTATTTCCAGCAACATAAAGATTTTCCTATCCAGTCCAAAGTAGCACAATAAAAATATAATACGCGCCTTGTTTGATCTTTGAACTCAAGTCGTCTTTAATCTATTGACTTCGTAAGTATCTTAGAATAACTTGGAATTTCAAGTTTATAATATTATCTGTGACGGCCAGTGAAACATTTTGATATTATTAGTCTCAAACAAATCCAGTAATTCACTGCCTAACATACAATAAATAAAAATAATGTGCAGAACGTAGTTATATAGTTCATTCTCATTCCAGCGACATTTATAAGCTGGAATTACTTACAAGTTGAAAAAAAATTCCCCTATTACGAATATCAGTCGATTCAGTAACACAAATACGTCAATTTGTGCTGAAGCAATCAAAGTGACTTAAAGACCAAACACCGTAGCCAATCTGGTCTGATCTGATTGTAGGATTCGTACCTGACGTAGTTAGGTCGGGAGTCAGACACACTAACGACGGAACCAGTGAAATTTATATTGTGCGTATGGAAAATGCATTAACTGTTATAGTAATAGAAATATTGTTGATACCGTAATAAACGCTTGAGGAGACATAGAAAGTATGAATCATTTTACGCTATTGATAACATTGTATTGATAAAAGATGAAAAGCTTGATACTGTATATCTACTTCATTACAGACACATAGACTCTCTCTCTCTCTCTCTCTCTCTCTCTCTCTCTCTCTCTCTCTCTCTCTCTCTCTCTATATATATATATATATATATATATATATATATATATATATATATATCTATCTATCTATCTATCTATATATATATATATATATATATATATATATATATATATATATATATATATATATATATATATATATATATATATATATATATTCCACCCATTCTCAGTATCCTGACACCAGCCCAACCAGTCCTAATACTACTAACCTTTTGATTGCTGAAGATCTAGCGAGTGTTAGTACCATTTTTGTAAGTCCTTGGTATGACTCGACTGGGGTTCGAACCGCCCGACCTCCCGCGTCTGAGGCGGACGTTCTAACCACAAGACTACCGGAGCGATCTCATTTGTAGTACGTTAAAGCATGAAGCATTTTCTTCGCACTGCAAGGCGATGTTTGCTTTTTTTATGGGATTAACGCTAGAGCGTTAGCACATGATAGAGATACACTGATGTTCATCAAATACCGTAGTATCGTGGACGAAAAACCCTGAAAGGCCACTGGGAAGAGCCAACGACCCATGGAAAGCTACTGGAATACTTTCTAATGCACCCATGTTGTTCAAGCTCATACAGACAGAAGTAAGGTGTGTGTGTATGTGTGTGTGTGTGTGTGTGTGTGTGTGTGTGTGTGTGTGTGTGTGTGTGTGTGTGTGTGTGTGTAAAGGTGAGACCCTAAAACCACTTGGCCACCCTTAGCCGTAAACTTGAATGTGAAAAGAGACCCACATGAATCTGGTTTTTCATTTAAAGTATTCGTGTCAGATGACTGTTGAATTGCTTTTCAAGAGTGGTATAAATATATCAGAAATGACGTCCTTTTAGCTACACAAACTTGTCACTACATTATTTGAAAATGAACATAGTTCGAAGATTGTCTTGAATGAGCTCATATCGCAGTCATGCCTTGGTTTGTTGTTGTTGTTGTTGTTGTTGTTGTTGTCTTTGTTGTTGTTTCTATATTTTGTTTTGAATTTTTTGTGTCATACCTTATTGAAGCATTCCATTCCAATATCTACCACAACAATAACAAGACCTTTGCAGATTTTGATGAAGAACACGGGCATCGCGCAAATTATTCACTAATATACTACGTAATATTGGTTTACAAAACGTTTACGACAGTACATGTACATCATACGAAGTATTGTTGTTGTTGTTGTTGTTGTTGTTGTTGTTGTTGTTGTTGTTGTTGGGTTTAACGCCATTTGTTTTTGTAGTGCAAGATAGGCTATAATACACGGTGGAAGAAGAACCTGCCGACCCACGAGAAGCTACTGTCAATCTTTCCCACATACCCACATTGGCTGTATCCTAGACGAAGTGTAGAATTTAGTTTTAAAAAATACCGTGCATATAAAATAGAAATGACAAAACATGCCAAATAACCATTATCATAATTTATTAAGGTCAACTTTAAGGAACGTTTTATGGACTCCTGAATTAACGTACAAAATCAATATTTCTTTGAATTAATTATATTTTTGTTCTACTTAAGGGTGTGCATTTGTGTAAATGACCTTGATGTTGATGGACGAGATTCAGGTCAAGTTCTCTCTCTCTCTCTCTCTCTCTCTCTCTCTCTCTCTCTCTCTCTCTCTCTCTCTCTCTCTCTCTCTCTCTCTCTCTCTCTCTCTCTCGTGCGGAGATTAACGATAAGCAACGAGCGGAACGTAAGTTTTATGTACGGTTAGACGGTTAAAATTATGGGTTGTGGCTTAGAATGCAGATGCTTGGACGTCCACAACGGTTCCATCCCACAATATCCTTGATTACGCTTACCAAATCTCTCTCTCTCTCTCTCTCTCTCTCTCTCTCTCTCTCTCTCTCTCTCTCTCTCTCTCTCTCTCTCTCTCTCTCTCTGGAACTACTAACATGAACTCAGATCATTAAATTATATTTGAATACCAAAAAAGAGAATGCATAAATATAAAACATTTATTTGTCCAAAGGAAAATGGTCATTAAGGATACTGTAACAATTAATAAATAACAAAAAAGTAACAAGTATAAATCGACCCGATTCAATTACATTATGTATAGAAAACTACGATGTCGATATGAATCCAAACTTGGTCATGTTTAAATTATTTCAACCTCTGGTACATCCATACTATTGAGAATACAGCGTCAAGTGAGATTGGTTGACAACCTGTATGTAAGACGTTTATAATATATCATCTTTTACGTCACGTGATTGACGATATTTCATCGTATCGACCTTTCGTTACGTCATGTAGCTGAAATTGCAAGCCATTATTCTGAAGCGAGTTAAGATTCAATATTTTATGATAAATCATGTAATAAAACTATTATATTGGTTATGAACAACTAAAGATATCATAGTGACCATCACTTCTTGTTGGCAAGTAGAAAGTTAATCGGGTTATAAAACTCCCTTATTCACAGCAAAATGTTTTAGAGATGGCGGAGCGATGGGAATCCCAAACACTCTTGAAATTGTGCTAGTGAAATTATCAAAAATAAAATATCCATCTTTCAGTAATCACTTTAAAGACAAATATCAAGCAAAGTTCTTATGGCACGGATATGAGGTGTGTGTGTGTGTGTGTGTGTGTGTTGTGTGTGTTGTGTGTGTGTGTAATTAACATTCCATGTTGCTGTTGATACGACGTAAAACACACACACACAACTTTTTGTTGTTGTTTTACTAGCAAATAACAAGGGTAATTAAAATACCGCTGATATTATCGCCTTTTAAGCTAGTACAAATTTATACTTTGTACTAATTAAAATCTTAAAAAAAGCTTTAAAGCTTTAGTTTACCTTGTCTTGCTGACTAAACTCGGAACCAGTTTCGATTGGACAAAGCAGTCCAATAAGGGATGTGTAAGAAATTTTCAGAAGAGTAAATGCTAAAAAGATCTCCGTCATATATTTATTTATCTAGCAGAAATATTTTACCTTAAGTTACATTTTTTTAAATAAAGTAAAACAATTGTATTAGAAAAAGGTACACGTATCTCAGTTAATTTTTAATCAGCTCATTTGTTTTGACGACTCACTTATAATGTTATGTGTTAGCGTATTCATAGAATATTCCAGAACCAGACATATATGCGTTGCCACGTATGTACAAGATCATAACTTTCTTGCCAAAGCAATATATTTTGAAAGATATACTCACTAATTTGATAGTAGGACACACAATATGGCAAAGTGATAAAATGCTTAGCGTATGAAAAGTATGACTGTGACGCGTGATTGTGAAACCGATACAACATTATGTTGTTTCTAAATAAAAGCCTTACTCGGTGTAACTACCAACAATATTGACTCACCAATACTGTTTATCGTCTGCGCGTGGTGACGCTAGGCATTGAAGCATAAGATATTCAAATGTTGACCTTTGACGTCACGAGGTCTGTCTATTTTTATATCTTACGGACGTGGTGTTTACAAAAACTGCCTACTGCAAGTTAGTGCGTCATTCAATCAATAGGCAGGCACTTGGATTGTTAGTTGGGCTACAAACATAGATGGGAGACCGTGTGTTTATTGCTGATTATATTAAGAAAAAGAGAATTAGAAAGGTAAGTAAATATCGCATTTGACAGACTACATCAAATAGAGGTTTTCCATGAGTTATTTACAGTTGTCATTGTTTTATGACGGTTTTATCACGGTGTATGTATTATTTCTTGTAACAGTTTCCGCATCTATTGCGAAAGTAACCCTGACCTTTAGTGTCAATGTTTGTGGAATTGTGGGGGTGGGGTGTCATTGAATATTGGTATTGATTGAGTACCTATTTCTATATTTTATAGGGAAATGCGCAATATTTGGTGAAATGGAAAGGCTACTCGTCAAAGTAAGTAGTTTTCAACTTGCTTTTTCATTGCATTGGGTATTGCCTGTTAATTTGCTAATGTTATGCTTCTGCGCAGTACATTTATCTCCAAAATGTTGAGTAAATAACTTTACATTTTAAATTTGTGATAAAAGGCTTATCGATGAAGCCGCGTTACCATAAATTTAAAGGACAACAACTTAAATTATTACAAAAAATGATGATGATGACGTAGTACTAATATTAGTACCTTAGTCCTTTTGTGGACACGACAAGTTGAGGCTACTACATCATAACTAGATGATGATGATGATGATGATGATGATGATGATGATGATGATGATAATAATGACACCAATAATGATTCAAAGTGACGAGGGACTAATGAGAATTATGATAACGACGATGGCGACAGTGATGATTATGTTCGGATGCCATGCTGATCTATATTATTTAAGTGGATGGTTTGGTGTTTTGCGGCACATCAACACATTGATGGTAAATGATAATGAGGCAGGTACAGTGAAGCCCTTTGCACAAGGACGTGCCACGGTGGCAGGTCTAGACTGATAAGATGATGGGAATTGAATCGGCACCCAAACGGTCACGAGTCCATCAAATTTTCATATTTTATAACCTGCCTAATTGTCTCCTTTTTGATAGACAGGATAAACGGGTCGTTTCAAGGAGTCAAAAGAGTGAGTGGCATAATTTGTGTTGTTTTTAAAGGCATTTTCAACACAGTTTGGTTATAATTTGCGGAGGAAATGGGAGATAAATGCATTTCCTTACGTAATCATTGAAGTAACCGACCCAGGCAGGTTTGAGTGAGTATCGAACCTCTCGACCCTTAGATTACGAACCAAGTAACTATAGAGACTGATGTACGCTATAATAGCATTTGTGCGAGCTTTCAAAGAATATTCGAGGTGTAAATTCAAAGTTGTAATGAAATAGCAACCATTATTAATTGGAGATTAGAGGTTTATGACATATTTATAAAGCGCGCAAAACTGAGAATATAGTAAAATTCATGATCTGCCGTCACATAAAGTGCTGACGGAACAGATTTAGCAGTTGTAAATTTACGTCGTGTAATAAGTAGCAAAGATACTGATCTGCCAGCGAATTATTTGACGGCAGATCTGGCTTAATGCTGTTCACTAAGTGCACATTATACACAGCTGCAAAATTACTATGAATATAAAATAATGAACGTCATTAGTGGTTGATATTCACATCGAGAAGAACGCCATTTTAGCTTCTTTCGAGGTTAATATGGTTGAATCTCAATATGGCAACAAATTTATTGTATAGTCTGGAAATGACCCGGAATGCATGGCACTCGCAATAAACCTCCGAAGCTCAAATGTTTTGTAAAGTGCACCCAAACGATTCTTTTTTTGTTCGACTACGGAGATTGGCGCGCGAATTTGTCGGCACTATTTATGAGTGTGCTCGGATTTTCGAGAATTAGACAACACTATCGTACCACCTTTTAAGCTGCGTATTAAATACCGCGTACTAAA